GTGTTTGTGACTATACAGGACATGTTTTTACTATGATTAATTAGTAGCAGGGAATTTTTCAAATTAACAAAAAAATGCGACTATACTATGTTGTGACTATATAGGATGTGACTATATAGGATGTGACTATATAGGAGTCTGACTGTATGAAAATTTTGTTTCTCTAACATTTTTATTGAAAAAATAAAACTTTGACCGAATTCCTTTGACAAAATTTTAATAATTTTTCGAAAAATCCTTCGAAAATTTTTAAACTGGAATTTCAGCTTTAACTAAAAGTTAATGTGGTAGAATTATCAGTCTTTGTAAAACAATTCACCCAACTAGAATCCTTGTCTCATACCATTAAAAATATCTTTATGAAAAAGTTCTCACTCAATGTTCGATTGTATCGTATGGTCCTAACTATTATGTTCGAAATTACTGACTAAACAGGTAAGCTTAGAGATGTGCCAATCATAGTAACCCGGGTTTTTCCGCGCGTATAATAATAGTAAGAAAGTAAATAGCATATGTGTTAGAAATATTTATTAATAAATAAATGCCAGTAAAATAACGTAGCTAAAACCTTATGCGTAACCCTATGAAATTCAAGCAGAAAATATAGGAAAATGTATGTAAACTGCATCAATAGACGGATCGTCATTTAACGGTTTAAACGGCTTAACGGTTAACCGAAGGTTTCGTAGTTAATTAACTGACCAAAGAATTTTTAGGCGGTGCCAATTTCTATATTGAATTAAAATACTTACTGCTGACTTTATTATTATTTGTGGCTATACAATAAATAACATACGTCATTCAGGAGTTATATCCATACTGGATATCCATATACTCAGACATATGCTACAAAATGGCATGATTTTTTTTTGTATATTCGTTGTTTTAATATTTAATTGTTCTTATGAATATTTTTGTCTTTATTTACAATATTTAAATCATTTAATAAATATTATAGAACATATAAAAGCAATAAAATTCATCCATTATAAATATATCTTTTAAAGAAAAGAAAAAACTGATTAATAATTTGTATTAAATGAAATCATTCCCATTTCCAAACAGTTTTACCCTATTATTATTTGATAAAACAGCATCAAAATACAAAGACCTTGCTTTCAAAATGTTGGAATGAGCCTTAAAGGTTTCAACATCATTATCCGCTCCAAATTTAATTTCTACATAATAATAATCTGATTCATTTAATAATTTTGTTAAATCATTTAAAAGTATATTGATATGATATGTTTTAATGACAGAGCGTTATTGTAGAATTGTTAAAAAATCGGTTGATGCTTTCCCCTAAAGGTGAAAAACTATTCAATTATGCATATAAATCACAAGCGAAATTAATTTATCCCAAGTTATCCTAGCTTTAAATATTTTATTTTCATTAACGCTGCCGTTGAATAATTAATAGTAATTTTTCTTTTTTTTGGGGCGCAGAAGGATTATTTTAAACCGAATATTTAAAAATGCAATCGGGAATGGGGGAAAATAAAAATTGGGGAAATTTCATTTATGCTATCCCCAGAGACCTGACCGAATAGACTTTAAAATGTTTGTTAAAGTTTCATTTTTGGATGGTTTTGGTATTATTATTATTATGTAATTTATTTGTTTATTGAATTCCGATTTCATTCATCAACTGATCGACAACAATTTATGATGACCAATTAGATGAATGAAATAAAAATTTTTATTATACAAATTTACCAAATATATAATATACATTAAGCCCAACTGAGTCCATTCCGTCCCATAGGGAGAAATCATTAGTCATAAAACTAGATACGTCAATCAAGTCACACATGCTGGCCAAGTCACTAAGGCAAATTATAATAGGCCTGAAGTTGTAATTTCTGGATTGCTAAACGATCCTCTTCTTCCAGGGCGGGAGAACGGGTAATTAAAATTGTTTCATGAATTGTAGAAACTTAAGTGCAACCTGTCCTTGGATTTTTTTTAAAGTTGTCACACCTTAATACTTTGTTTTCCCGATGCAGTTACTCTACGACTTAATGAACTACCCTTCACGTATTCATTAATCTTTATTAAAACAAATCAAAATTATTTTTAAGACTGATTATTTCAATTCTAGAAATAAAATAAAAAAATAATAAATAATCGTAAAGATGATAACACTATGAGTTGGCAATCACAGATCAATCTTTGAGTTAGGACAATTATATAGTGAATGATTTATAGATTACGAGAAACTTGAAAATTTACAACAAGTTACACGTGACGGAAATTAACACGGAAATACTACTAGACACTTCGCGAATTAATTGTAATGAACGAATGAATTAACCAACATTTTGATTTATGTGATTTATTTAATTCTAAGTTCTACTATTTAAAGAAAGAATTTAAAACTATTCGTTCATTTCAAAGAGAACCTAAAATATTCTTTCCAATGGAACATTTCAATTATTTTTGAGACTACTGTGAATAAGGGAACTAGATGATTTAACCTTTAGAACATATAAATAACGTCTTAATTTTCTTAACTTCATTTTTAATTATCTAATTATCTCATTTCTTCATCTTTGTCATCATAACTTCATAATTGTAATCATCTAATAATATATAATAACCTATCCTAACGATAAAACCAATCTTTTGAAGTAATAAAGAAATCCTTTCGACAGTGATACTAATTCTGGATAATTATTTTTTTCTTTATTTTTATTTCCTTTTCTTTCAGCAAGGTATTGTTTAGTGAGATATTACTAATCAGGGAGTGGCCATACGGATTGTAGAGAACCCTGGCGAGAGTTAATTTGGGCACAACCTCACATTAGTTATTGACCTTTTTATTTAACGATGCTTTTTTTAGATGTAAATTTATTACATGACATGATTAAAATATAATGTTATTTATCTGAACCCATGTAATCTTATAAATATATTAATTTTTTTTAAATAAATTACAACAAAAATAAATAATTCAATTTTCAAATAGTCAATTATCCTAAATATGCGAGATATCATGATGAAAAAATTACTAGCGACGATATTTGGACTTATATGACAGTGTTAATATTGTTTTTTATAAGTTTGAATGTACTATATGATTTAAAATAATATATATATATAAATTTCCAAGTTAACAATCTTATCATATTAAACTTGTTGAAGAGGAGAGAATGTTAAAACTTTTAAAGCGCATTTTAAGATTTTGAAAGCAAGGTATTCGGGTTTTAAGGTAGTTTTGTCAGTAAGAAAAATCTGAAAATGGTTGGGTTTATTATTATTATTATTATTATTATTATTATTATTATTATTATTATTTATATTATTTAATTTATCAAACACGTTAATCTACTTTTTTTTTTTTTTACAAAAATTACAAAATAAAAATAAAAATAAAAATAAAAATAAAATATGTTCCCATTAGATTTTTCTAGCGTAAATCCTGGTTTCCTGACCAAAAGTTTTATAACTATCAACTTCTTTAATAAAGTCTTTTATCATATTATCAAATTTTTTATCATCCATTCCCATATAATTTGATAAATGTGGTTTGAAATTATTCAATATTTTCAAAAATTCTTTCAACTTTAAATTTCCAATTTTTTTTAATTTAACATTATTATTATTATTATTATTATTATTATTATTATTATTATTATTATTATTATTATTATTATTATTATTATTATTATTGCTACTACTACCGACGTTGCTGTTGTTGTAATCAATATTTAATGAAGAGAATGAATGTTGTTTTCTTGCTTTAATTCTTGACCAATTACCGATCGGAAAGAATTTTTTTTGGATTGTAATATCTGTTAGTTCGTCGGGTTTTTCTTTTAATATTTGTTCGAGCGTTTTGCTGATAATTGGTTCAATACCTATTGATATTAAATATTCTTGGACTAAAAAAGAGAAAATTTTGTTAGAAAAAAAAATCCCAAACAAAAAATTATTATACATTTACATATAATAATAATTACCAGACTTGAACAATTTTTTAGTAACAGGTCCATTATTAAATGTTACTAAATCCCATTCACAAATTTCAATATAACCAATGTCATCATTACTAGAGTTTTTCAAAACATTTATAAGTTTATTTATTATAATTGACCAATTCACTTTAAGTAAATTCAAATTCAAATATCTCAAATGAACAAAATCGAAAGTGTTGTTATCATATGGCAACGCTTTCTCTAACAAATTTAAATATAAAAATGTCGCGTTCAATTGTTTTATATTGTTTTGTGATGGAAAAATTGGTGATCTGTCAATTCCTATGAAAATTGAAAATGGATACTTCAATGACATGTCTAGTATCCAAGTTCCTTTTCCACAGCTACATTATCATTAGAAGAACGAGAAAGATTACGACGAGAAAAAAAATTTAAAAATTAAAATCACTATTAATAATAAAATAAAATTAAAAACAAACTAACCCAACATCTAAAACATGAACTCTTTTACGACTGGACAAGATATCGTGTATCGGAGATATAAAATTAGCATTCCATAATTGCCGATTTAAATAATGCGGTATTTCCAATTGGTCGATATTATCTAACATCTTATCGTCGGGTAATGAAAATTCATCATTATCGTTAGGTGATATAAATATTATATCATCAAGATCATTGTCTTTAATAAAACCACCATTATCACCGAATTCTATAGGCCTTATAGACGGTGAAACTTTGGGTGAGGTAGAGGAAGAACTGGGTGTAGTAGTGTCTCTGTGTTTTAAGCGATTTCGTAGTAATTTTAATTTTTTTCGTAAGCAGTTTTTTAATTTATTTGTTGAATTATTTTGATTGGTAGTTGTAATAGTAATAGGAATGCTGTTATTGTTGGCGGAGGTGTTGGATAATTGTGATAATGGTATATTAATAGTATTATTATTATTATCGCTATTATTTAGAGAAAAACAATTTCCCATTTTATAAAGATTTAATTGATACTGTCTAGGTTAATGAAATATTACAATTTGAAATGTTTAATAATTTAAATTTTTTTTTTAAATTTATACAAATTTTTAATTTTCTAAAAAATTTTTTTAAAAAAATACAGTAGAAAAGCTCTTTCTTATATGCTTTTTTTTAATAATGATCAGGTTATTTTTTACGTATGAATTGTCTTTATGTTGGAATCATTTACCAAATTGGTAATTAAATTGGCTCATGTTTTTGTTTGTTTGGCACTTAAAGTATAAACAAAAAAAAAAAAAAAAAGATATAGAAAAAAAAAAGAATTTATCTTGCATAAATATTGTAAATATTCGAACCGTGTGTATTAGTATGTATTTATTAATATTAATGTGTGTGTAATGAGTTAATAATTGATTTGATGTAACACGAAATTAAAAAAGATAACATTTTTTTAAATGATTATGATTAAAACATCTAATTAGAGTCTCGGAGAATTATAATGAAACCGTGTATAAACGAAAAATCTCCATGGGTTCAACCAATCAATGAATGATTTTAACCATTTTAGTTCCTGAAGCGGGATATTTCTATGAAATTACTTAATCCCTTCATTACTCTAATTTTACCACTTCTTTTTCAAAACATCATTGTTTATCATTCGGATTTTCCATTCGGACTTTAAAAATTATTATTATTATTATTATTTTTATTTTTATTATTATTTTTATCTCCCTAATTCTCGCCCGATCCCCTGAATATCTTTTTCTATAATAATAAAATTGATAATAATAAATCTTATGGAAAATATTTGTGTTATGTTATTTACTTTGTCTTGATAATAATAATGACAAAGAAATATAAGAATTAAAAAAAAATCTAAAAAAAGAAAATGTCGGCCATTATTTTTAGATAATAATAATAATAAATAATAAAATTATAAAACAATATAAACAAAATTTAGAAAAAAACAAAAATTTCGTGTAAGGGCGCTGACATATAATATTAGCTAATATTTTGGGGGGGGACAGAAAATACATAATCTTTTATAATGAAGTGTTTTAATTTGGGAATGATTTACACAAAAAATTGTGCTACAGGAATGAAAATATTATATTAATATTAATATTATACAGAATCCTACCAAAATGGTAATCCATTCTACAATAAATGAAACTAAATTATGAGTCTATAAAGGTTCCGTATTCCGCGCATTTGCGCCTCTGTAGTAAAAAATGCTCTGTATGAAAACAAAAATATGGAATCGAAGATCGTACAGACTGGCCCCCACCAATCAATTTTTCAGAATTCACAAATTCCGTTCCGTAGAAAATTAAAAAATATAAAAATATACGGAGCAAAAAAAAATAGTGTACGGAATCTCTACCGACTATGACTGCTAAATTATTATTATAGTTCAAAATTTTTGTAGAACCAACGTTACATTTATGATGATTAAAATTTGTGGCAGGAATTACGGAGCGTTTACCAACTCTAAGAATTAATTCTTATTTGTCACATAGGTTCTGTATATTTTCATAAAAAGAACCTTTTTTGTAATATTACCTTAATATTTATAAAATTCTCACATTCTCATATACATAAATGTTATAATTGATCATTCTTTATCTGATATACATTTCCTTAAATATATTTTGTCAAAAAGAGGTCATTTTGGTTGTGATTGAGAAGAGAGAAATAGAATCCTTGAGTTTTGTTTAGATTTTCCTTTAGCAAGATGCATTGTTTGTAATTTTCGAATAAGTAAGAGTTATTACACTCAGAACCAAATAGGTTGTTTGGTCAAGAAATAGCCAATGAAATCATACCCAGGAATTTCATGACATCATAATATATTATAAAGGAAAATTTTTTACTTTGATTTATTAATAAAATTAATTATTTTTTTTCGCTTGTGCTTTGTTGTTACCTAAAAAAGGAAAATAATTGTCATACACGTGATCAAAGTGTCTTATGTAAGCGTTTCTATATGTCAGCGTTTCTATATGTCAGCGTTTCTATATGTCAGCGCCCTAACATGCCCAAAACAATTTAAAAAATATACACATGGAAATATTAAAAACATTACATGTATAGGTACCAAAAAAGATTTTATGCATTATTACGTATATTTTTTTTTTTTTAGTGTACAAAAAAAAATTTTTTTAAATAAAAATGAGAACAAAAAAATACTAATGAATGTGTATTCCTTATTATTATTATTATTGAAAAGCATCACATTACGAAATGCTCCGTCATCAATTTCAGTGATGAATCCCTAGTTTTGAAGAGAGATATTATTGGTTGAGAAACATTAGGTTTGTCCTAGTGTGACCACTATTAGGTTGTTGTTATATTTATTATATTTATTTATTATTGTAAATTGATTTGTTTGTAAATTTATTTTCAACATTATCGTTAACTGTTTTTAAATTTTGTTTCTATTAAATTTATTTTCTTCTAATGGAATTTTTGATTTTTCTACAACACGCACCACATAATATTTATTTTTGCTTGTTCTTTCTCTCTCACGGTCGACCAAATTAATTGGGAGATGCAAACTTGATATACCAAGTAAATTTTTACTGCGTGACAAAGTCATATAATTCATGATGATGTCGGAACTATATACACCTACCATAGTAATAGGTTTTGAGAATTCGAATTTCGAAATTAAAACTATAAATAAATTAAATAATAAACCTTTTCATTAAACTGTGACGAATAATAATAATTATACAACTAGAATTTTATTTACCAGGCCTGGAAGATCACCGAACTATAATAATAATAAATAAACTTTTTGTTTTTTATTTTTGAGGTAAACTTCTAGAATGGTCATCTATTTAAATTTCTATTTATGGTAAACACCACAATGGGAACTATATGTGATCATGATCATCAATGCTGTGACCTGAAACCCTCAATTTAGAGTGGTTTTATTTATTTTTATAATAAAGTTTAGAGCAGGAGTTTTAAGTTTAGGTTTTAGCTTAGTATAGATTCCTTCCGAAACTATTTGGGGAATTCAAAATAAAAATGGTTTCATCGATGATCACATCTAGAGATTGATATTGAGCAAGCGCGCTAACAATTCTTTTGCTGAGGGATATATAACTTTATTTTTTTCACCTCATTTACCATAAATAATAATAATCTTCGGGATTGTTGTGAGTGGGCGAATTTCTCATTGGCTAATTTAATACAAATGTTTGCATTTATTTTTAATACCCAAACATGTGTGTATTAATATTAATGGTAGTTTGTGAATTGTGAATTCACATTTCATTTAATATTTTGTAATTTTGCGTGGAACTTGTGAAATCACACCACCTTTTTTTAGAAAACAGGGAACAAATGATCGACAAAATGCTTGTGAAGTTTGCATTAAAAAGTACTTTTATTAAATCCTGCATTAAATACTTTAAAGAGTTCGGTGTGATAATTGTTTTTTTGGAATTGGATCTTTTTTTTTTCCGCTAATTTTTATGAATCAAGTGGCCTAAAAATAAAAACTCTAACCTGTTAAAACCAGTTAACCAAGGCCTTAACTGGTTAAGTGTATGAATTTTTTTTTCTATATTTTACGAAAAATGTTAATATTTTATTTAAAATTTCTTTTAAATAATGAACATTCTTATGTCGCTCATTATGAATCAACTGTTATATTATTATCTTTCAATAAACTATAATAATAATAATAGAATTAGTAACACTAAAGCAAATATATGATAATTATGATGACAATAAATTATAATTTACTAATTACAATGCTTCAAAGATTTCAATAGGCAATAAATCAATTTAGTTGTATATATACTCTCAATTCTTTTCATTTAGCCGATAATGCGAATGTAGCTTCATTTCACCTACTGAAACAAAGATTTACAATTAAAATAGGACATCATTTTGTCATCAACGGCTAAAAACGGATTCGGGATTCTGGCTATTAATATTAATATTAATTAATTTTCTTATTATTAAACCCGTATTTTATTATGCATATCAATCCTTTCCATTTATCACAAATCATGAATTCAGGGCGATCTAAATTTAACCTATTTTAACCGGTTAACTGAATATATACTTAACCAGTTCCAACCTTTACTCCTGATACGCAATCCATCACAATCAGGGCTGGCTGCATAAAAGTGTTAAAATCTTAATTTGGTAATAATTGTCTTTGACTAAACTCGACTTAACATAATGACTCAATAGCCAATGCTCATTTTGGTTACGTGGCCAGCCCTGATCACAATCATAATCCCTGAAAAAGAGATTTTGACCTGAAATCATTAGTTTTTCAATAAAATTATAATATATATGGCAAATTCAAGGCTCAATTTGGAAGAAATATCAAGATAGTTGAGTAAAACCAAGAAAAATAGTGACCATGCATGTATTGGGCGAGAAATCAATTGAAAGAGTGAAAATATTTTCTTTGTATAATTATTTATAACAAATATGTGCTTTTATCTAGCGAGGCCTTTATTATTTCATTCGCTGAGAAATATTCAAAATATTCAAAGAGCCAGTTAAAACTATGTGGATAAACTGAGAAATATATTAAAATGAAAATGGAAATAAGGCAACGGAATGTATGGAATGATCATTATTTCATTTGTATAAAAAATTATAACCAAATTGTCAAATAACTGTGTTTTATTTTAATTGTACAAAGTATGCTTTACTTAAATATATATGTAAGAAACTCATAATTCATTCTTTTATTTATTTATTCATTTATTCATTCTTTCTTTTATATTAATTTATATTTGTTTTGTTATTTGGTTCTATTATAGTTTCAATAATATCAGAACCTGCTATTTATTTTTTACTGTATTAGTATATATGAAATTGACATGTATATTTAAACGGAATAAAATTTATGATATATGAATTAATACATATTTTTAAATTATTATTACAATTTGTAATTATTGATTATTTTTTGAAAGATTTTGTAAAGCAGTTGAACATACATATAATTCATAATTTTGGAAATTGTATGACCATTTAATAAAGCTCTTGCCAAGTTTTTCTTCATAAAAAAGCATTCATTTTTTTCTTCAATGAAAGATCTGCATAAATATATTTTAAAAATGGAAATAAATGAAATTTGCAATTCACATGTGAAATTCAAATTAGCAATCATAATCAGAATTTTATATCCAAACCAAAATTTAATAATAAATTTCGATTTTCACAAATCTAAAGACTTTTAGTCATTGACTATTAATTAATTATTTACAAGAACCAATATGAGTAAAGAAAAAAGAAATGAAAAAATAATCTGTAAAATTTTTAGATTTTTATTGAATTCGCCCATATTAATTAATATTAGTAGTTAATTACTATGGATTGATCGATATTAGGGTTTATCACAATTTTACTATTCCTTAAATCTTTTTAAATTAATAATATATTAATATTATTCTATTTCTTTAAAAGGTTTAAATTTCTAGCTGTCCCATATGGTCGGTGCTTGGGAGCAGTGTTGTGACCAGAAACTCTTTTGGCTTCCCAAAACGTTTCGGAAAATGAACTTACACTAAGCAGAAACTAAACCTAAATCTAAACATAAACATAAAATACTAACCTAAACTGGTTTCGGGTGGTTTCGGGTGGTTTCGGGTGGTTTCTGTTTAGTTTCTGTTTCTGGTTTTCCCTAAACTCAGAGTTTAGGGTCACGACACTGCTTGGGAGAGGTTGTCATAACCGCTTGCCAGAGTTACATTAGCGCCCCAGTAGTAAAACAGCGAATTTGACCCATTAAATATTTGTTATGAACTGAATCACACTATTTCTAGGGCTTTCCGTGAACTGATGAGACAGTCAGAAGAAAACGATTCTAACTGTCTTTGGGAATTTTAGAAGAGAAATTTATATGGCGACGGGGAACAATATTTCATGTATGGTGTTAAATGATATTGATGAGGTGGCTTTAATTGTTTATCCTTTTCTTATAGTTTAAAAACTTGTGCCACTCCTCGTTAGAATTTTAACCATTAACGAAAAATATCTTTGTTGTATAATGTTGATATGTATATTAACAAGTTGATGGTATAAACAAATATTTAATGATGTTCTATAGCGTTTCAATGGCTCTCGAAGTAGTAGATATGATCCACAAAAGCTTGTAATAATAAATCAAGTCTTTTCATTAATGTGAATATAAATTTTTCCAGATGCAATGCATATGGAAAAATGGAAATCGTTATTGAGAATACTGATTTAATCCATATACTTTAACCCTCACATAGATCGCTTTCGTGCAAATTTCATTCCAAATAACGTTTACAGAGCTTCTGAACCGGAAAATACACGCTGATCGTAACATTCTGAATTTAAAAGACATGTTATGGGTATCTTTCAGCACAAATCCATTTAATCAGGAAGCAAAATAGCAGTACTGAAAAGATAAAACCAATGAACATTGACAATTTAACCAATTATCTAATGTTATAATTGATCTTGGATCTCATCAATACCAGATAACGAAGGTTATTATGACATTCTTATAGTAAGTAGTTTATATGCATTATAATGATATTGAGCGTGCTGAATAACATGTCATACTTGGAACACACTTTTAAATAATTTGTAAAAAAATATTGTATCAGATTTCTCTTACCATTGATATACAGTATGTTAAAACAAATTAATACTTTTGTATCCTCCTTTTCACTTCAAATAATTAATTATCTCTTGATATTAATATCAAAAAAATAATTCCTTTACATCTTAATATATCATCACAAATAATTCGATTTTTAATATCCTTTTAATTTTTAAAGTAAATCTCAACTAATGTCTCATTGAAATTTGTAAGACTGAAGGTTGGCAAATAAAATTTTTAAGATATGGTGCTTATTCTACATTTTATAAATTTAAAAAAGTTAACTATAAAGCAGTTGATTCAAAAAAAAAGAAAATATTAAATCAAGATGTTTCTTGGAAAATAAAAAAATAGACAGACTCTAAATAATTTAATGATTATATTGGCAAATAATCACTCGCCACTTTTGTAATAAAGTCCGGATCAAATAAAAAAATTGTAGAATTTATGCCGTACTTGCGAAAAAATTATTAATACGTACGTTTGATATTCTTAAAGTGAGTGTAGGGACATTCAGTATGGTATAACTCTTGCAAAACGTATGGTATGGTATTGTATAAGTGTAATAAAATGGTTGTATACCAATGCTTAAATCTAACATACTTCCCTTCACACCCACCAAAAAAGGATTTAGAATAAAATTTTGTGTGACTTGGTATGGAAAAATATGGCTATACCATACCATACCATACGTTCTGCAAGAGTTATACCATACTGAATCTCTCCCTACCGGAGGTTGAGCTCAACTTATTTTGGTTAGTAGAAAGTCATTATGTACTACACAAAATGAAAATTTATTTCCAGTATTGATATGAGATTATCCTAAAATCCGAATGTTTTTTTCTTCGAATACTGCGACAACCATTTTTTATTAAAGAAAAACGTCATTTTGAAGTAGTTGCATGTATTGAAATAGACAACAAAATTTGGACCTTTAAACCCTTTATTTTTTTTTTTGCAATTTAATATTCGATTTAATAAACAGTTGACTCTTCCTCTCTGTTCCTTTATCCCATCCATTTTATATATCGTGGAACATCCTTCTTTATAACCAACAAAAGAATATGCCAAATTAAGCATCTAATTATATTAATATTTAAAAAGACGGTCGTTGAAAAAACCCTACTTAATAAGTGATATAAAATTATATCATTTGTTTCGGGGGTTTTTCTTATAGATTTTTATAAAGTCTACCTACATATATCATTAAGAAATGAGAATACTATCCATCGAATCACTATTATAATCACCATCAATTACTCATCATTCTTTTTATGATATTTAAATGAAAAATAATTCATAAATACAACTAGTGTTGATTGCCAAAACTATGTAGTTTCACAACTGTGCGAAAGTCAAAAGGTTTTTCCATAAGTCGAAACTAGTTTTGACTTTTGACTTTTTGATTTAGTTTTGACATATAACTTTTAAGTTTAGTTTTGACTTTCGCCTCTTCGAAACAGTATTGGCAACTAACACTAAATGCAACCAGATATTTTTTTCATATTTTCTAGAAAAAAAATTGGTAATAAATGCCAAATAAATTAGCTATTAAGATGATAATATTATGAGTTACTCTTTATTATAAAACTCACAAATTGCCTTCCCAGAAGAAAATTTGTTCTTCCATTAATTTCTTGTAATATATTTTTATTTTGTCATATGAAGTTTGTTTAAAAGAGTCAGGATAGTAAGTCATATATACAGATGCTGTGCATTTCGATATTTATTACACATTAAAATTGGAATGTTTAATTGTTGCTGTCTTAACCAAAAAAAAACCCGAATTATTTTTTTGCCACCTGACCATTACAATGAAGCATAACAGAATATTCCTTAATGATATATTTATTCATTAAGAAGCTTTGTCTCGCTCGGCAAAAAAAAAAAAAATGAAGAATGCGAGCAATTATTATAAAAAGAACGAATTGAGATTGGAAAAGGAGAACAGAAAGATTTCTGATATTTTGCCACCAAAGAACACCCAAATGAATGCATTGCTATATTGTTGGCAAAATCGACTTTATTGTTGGCGATTTTAAAGACAAATGAATTTGTTTGACTGGAATAAATAAATTATAGTGATTGGTTTAGTTGAACTCGGAGGAGTATTTGAAGTCGATTCTCATATTTAATAATATGTAATGACGAATTCGGAATAAAAGTTTAAGCTGAGGTTGAATTAGCTGCTGTAATTTAATAGTTTTAAATCATTTATTAATTTTACAAATAATATTGTATGACTTACAAGTAACTGTTTCTGCTTTCTAATCGTTATTGTTAGCAGTCCACTATTAAAACAAAATTTAGCTGCCATTTTATTTCACTTTTCACGATGCTAATGATGATTCGATTATTTAAGATCAAAATCATGTGACATTTTTAAATAGACACTAAAGTTTTTCTTTGGAAATTTTATTCGCTATTCTAGTTTATTATTATTATGGTTGACTTTTATTAGATTTAACGGATAAAAATTGTAAATCGACTAAACCTTTTTCTTCATTCACCATTAAAAAACTAATAATGCAACATATTTGTATTTTGCCATAATAATGTAAATATTTTTAGACAAGAAGTTCAAAAACCGGAACCTTTCGAATCTGAAAAATGTTAGTCATATTATTTGAAAATAAATTCCCCCAATAACAAATCTTACTTACAATTACATATGGCTCCAGATTTACACTTTTCGCATAATTCCCTCTTATGTGGTTTATTATTATCATTTGTTATAGGACTTGGAGTCAATTTTTCGTAACTTAAAAGTTTTGTGGTTCTCTTGGCAGGATTTATTTTATCGCATCTTAAACAATCTTGATAAATTTGATCTTCTGCTTTCTTGAAATCTTTGGCATTAACATTTTTGTCAAATAGATCCAGAGCCACCCATGTGTATCCACTTTTCCATCCACGTCCACAGCCTTTGCACCACCAATGACCAAAAACTTTTTTATATTCTATCTTATTAACTGGGTTCGTATAATTTTGACGAGTACTTTCTACAATATAACTGATATTATTTTTACTAAATAGTTTCCTTGATGTTAAAATTTTTATAAATTCAGAAGAGTGAATGAAAAATGACATTTTGGAACAAGAAATATTTGTGTAATTAAAATTTATCATGAATAAACTTTTCATAAATCCCCTTTTATATAGTATTGGTAATCAAAATGTTTGGCTCGTCATGTAAATTAGATAAGTTGGTCATCATTTCTTATCAAGTACTTTAAACAATTGATTGCTGCAACTGATTTATCAAGTTTACATGTGTATTACGCGTTACTTAATATTAACATTAATGCTATCATTAAAGTTTATTTACAAGATAAAAGTAAACTTAAACTACTATGATTTAATTGGCTTAGCTTAGCTATTAATCTATTATTTTTTACCAAGTTTGTCGACTATTTTATTATGTTTCACATTTATTTATTTAATTAAATAAATTTCCCACCTGCGTAACGAAAAAATTTTTTTGCCTTAGTACTAATAATGAATTGTTAATTTTTAAACAAAGAAAAAAAAAATTTAATTTTTTTGCCTTCAGCAAAAATGAAAAAAACAACTGATTTTACCTTCAGAGAAATGAAAAAAAAAAATGATTGCAATCTGTATGCAATAATTAAAATCTTTTTCAAATAATAATGTATAGTTAAAAAAAAATAATGGCAGGAGAATTTTTATAGTTGATTAATTTTTTAACAAAAAGCGAAAAATAAAGTGAACCTTTACATATTTGATCTACAAGTACATTTTCTACAACAAAACAATTACTTTTGTATTCAAGTCAACATCCTTAATTTAATCCTTAATCCTTAATCCATTTAAAATTGAGCCGCGTTTTTGCCTGAAGATCTACTTTGTTGATACTTTATTAACATAAAAAAACCATTAGCCAAAAATTTATTATACGTTAATTAAGAAAATATATAAATATAAAATAAAGGCGTGAAGAGTAACAAAAAAAAAAAACTGCAAAATCATTCTTTTGTCCACATGTTTTATTAAAACTGTCTCTTTCATCAAAACCGTGGGGTAGGTAGAAGTGCTCTTTATAAATCAAAGCCCAACCACATTCAGGGATGTTCAGTTTTTAACGATTATAACGTGATCGACCCGAGAAAGGCACATTGGTTTATTTTATAGGTTGATATGTGTACAAGAACAATATAGAATATGCACGTAATAATAATTAATGGTTTTTAAAAGGTTTGCAAAAAATTCTCAAGGTAGGAACCCCCGAGGTTGGGAATTTTTCCCTTTTTTCAGATTTCCAAACAATTATTAATGATATAGAGACGGAGATATTCGTAACGTATCAAATAACAATAACAAATTTTTGTCAAACAATATCAATCTTTCAATCTTTCTGTCATCAGAAACAAACTCTAACTCACTTCAAAGAGACGTGGAGTGGAATATTTTGGCCAAAATGGAAGACAATAAAAACAATAATTATAGCAAAAGCACTAACAATAAAAGAAGGTGATGACGAACTCAAAAAAATAAAGGAAGAGAAAAAAATTGACATCTTCTTCCTTGTTGTTTCGAAATTAATGGTGAGAGAGCATCAAGAAATCATTTCCCCCTAAAATGCTTTTCCCTTAACCGTTCACAAGACACAAAGGTTAACTCTACCGATGAGAATATATTTGCTAAGGGACAAGTATATGTTGCAATGAGTCGAGCTCCCTTGGTTTTGACCATTACTTGCCAAAAGTTTTTAAAGTAGCATTAATAATGCTGAAATGTCACAATATTTAAAAAGGCGGTAAAATAAATCTGTCTCTGGATTCAAATTTGTGGTTTTGTGTTACTTGGAATTTGGCACCAACTTGAAATCTATTTGTTTGTTTCAGTTAACTTATAATTTCAGAAGAAATATATATGCTCTTAAAATTTTCTCACGAACAAATTTGCCATTAAACATAGCATTAGTAATCAAAAATGCTTGGCTTATTTTGATTTAATTCCAATTTAGTTATTCAAGTTTTATTTTTTGTTTCAGTTGACTTTTTGAGCATATAGAAAAATTTTGTCATCGAAAGTTGTCTTTCGCGAAATAGGTTGAGAGTTAATTGTGATCTGACGTACTGCTTATTTTCTAATTATTGCTGAAATTAGATCTTGTACATACTAATACCTTCTGTTGCCACTGAGGCCGACTTATACCTCTCAACACCTTTATGCAACCAGCTTGGAGAAGTTACTTGAACTTCCAAAACTGATCAGTTTAAAACTGCCTTTTATTAAGCAATGATCTGTATGATTTTGGTATTTGGTGAGGCAGTTAAACAATGGGTTGTAATACTGGTAGTTGTAGTGGAAGTAGAGGGAGATGTCAATATAATATGGAAATTTAACTTTTTAATATTTGAATAAATCATAAATCAGAAGAATGATAAGAAGGAAAAATTGATGCTTCTGATAGTTTTATGATATCTGAATGAGTAATCAAAGTAAAATAAGTAGCAACAGAGACGGTTCAGTTATTACCAAAAGAAAATGCAAATATGACAATCAAATATGCATGTGAATTAATTAACTTTTTTAATAGTCCTGATTATAAATTACTATACTATTGGTTGTTGATGCTCATTTCATTATTGATGTTGATAGTATTGGGACAGTAACGGTAGCATTGATAGCGTAACATACACAAATTCAAAAGGTCAAATTTTAATTTGATAAACTTGTAACACATTACATTGGCTTATTCGATTTCTTTTTTTTTTTTTTACTTGAAAAAGAAATATTATATGATATTATAATTAATGGTTGTCATTTCTTAACTATTGATTGATAATCTATTACTATGATTTGATTGTAATGAAATTGTTTGCTGCTAAATTGCATGTACTACGTTACTTATTCTCCAACTATGATGTTTGCATTGACGATGTTGTTCTCATCAAACATTGAATCAATTTAGAAATTGAATTGGTGATGATGATGAAGAAAATGAGGACGAGATTAAAGATAAAGATAGTCAAGAAATGACTGATAAATTATTGAGAATTACCTTTTTGCAGATCATTAAAGAGTATTCATTGGAGAATTGGAATCTAATTATGATTATGGTGACAGTGATTTTGATGTTGATGAGTTTTGAATTCCAATTTTTAAATAAATATATGTATAAAATTATTTACCTTATCCAAAATTATTCCGGCTATCCAAAAATATTCGATTTTGCATATTTTTTGACTAATGGTCGAAATTATTTTCTACCACTTCGACCATCCCAAAAATCAAAATTGTTTAATTTAGACTTTCATATATAGCTGTGACCTGGAACTCCAGGTTCAAGTAAACCCCAAAACCGAATCTCTCAAACCAGTTTAGAGAAAATTCTAAAACTTATCGAAACCTGAGCTTATCTGAAACCTAAACTCAATATAAATTTTATATTGGGTGTTAGTTCACTTAAATCGTAATGAAAAGATAAACATGGTGTAACTGGAAGAATGTAAGATAACTGTAACGTTATCTATCCAGGTGTCACTATGCAATGAGTTACATTTTTGGGAAATTTGAATAAGAAACCAATAAAAAGTTACCAAGGACAAGTTATGCTCTTATTTAAAAGTTTCTAAATTTCTGAAGCAGATAAACCCATTCCACTATGAAAGATGATGAGGCTTGTTTAACGATTTGGTTTGATAAATTACAACTTCAGGTCTGCTGTTACTTTTGGATATTAGGTCAGCAGGCATCAAACCAGTTTTACGACCGTTAGGGTCCTTTCGGGTATTGGCAGTATATTTTGCATATTTTATATATATGAGATATACTTGACATTTTAATTTGTATATCGATAAATTAATTTTTACATGATTAATATAATAAATTACTTCAATCCGACTGCGGTTAAAGTCGAATTATGGACTTTCAGGTAGATCTTTTCCCGAAACTATTTTGAAAATTCGGGTGACAGCATTGATACAGAAAACAAAGTTATGCAGTAATAGTAATTGTTTTATTTATTATTGATTGTCGAAATCAAATCTTGTTCGTTCATGGAGAATAGAATGTCTTTTGCAAACTTTGATTGGCTAATTTGAATTTAATTCGCGTTAAAGTTAAGTTTACACAAGATTTAAAATTATCGTACAATATTATGTGATGTTTGTTTGGTATTGCATATAAATTGTTGGGGTTACACGAAGATGGTCACTTGTTATTGCTATTTAAGAACAGGATAATTTATATAGCTCCCTAAATTTTCCCCACATTGAAAAATTCAATCCCGACTAATTATAAACGCAACGATCATTACAATACATTTTAACCATATTATTAATTTAATGGGGGACAACACTTACATTTCTAGTCTTGAACTTATGATCTCAACATGGCTTCTTGCTGTGAGCTTTGCACTAACTGCAGATTCATTCTCTCGAGTGGTAGTACAAAAAATCATTGGCAGACAATATTATTGGCTTCTTTATCCCGTAAATATCGCAATACTTATGTGCGAAGTAGTCTCACTTTTTCAAATTAGAGCAAGTTCAATGTGTTCAAGTATCGCAACCCCTTCAACTCTTGATTGTGAGAAAGCAGTAAGTTTTTTGAGGTGTCCTGATTATACGTCCGTATATTTGTATTACTGAACGTATGCTATTATACAACTTTTTATATTTGATTTGCAAGCCGTGCTTGCTACAACTTGCGTATGTACGATGCGCTGCTGTCTTTAGACCGTTTAAAACATCCATATTTGTATTTATCCACCGCACCATTATTACATTACGCGTCTTGGAACTGGTTATTATGTCAGTATTTTTCATAATAGACGGCGTCAAATGCCAGGGGTTATATTGTGACTCACTATGTTCATTCCTAAGTAGTGGTTACTACATACGAGAGACACTGGCACCCTTCTTCCGCATTTATTACATTGTTTCCGAGTCTATATTTTATTGGAAATTATATAATAGAGTATTAGAAGTCAGAGAGGATGATCAAACTTTCCGAATTCTTTTCCACCAGGCCGTTTTATTTACTATCGATATATTCCAACTCATAGCAATCTGCGTTTACCGATTAATAGGACTCGCGGTCATAAATTTGCCAACTCATAT